CATATCAGATAGCGAGTGGGTATGTCTAGTTCAAGTAGTACCAAAGAAGAGCAGTATCATAGTAGTGAGAAATGAAAATGATGAATTGATTCCAACTAGCACTACTAGAAAAAAGGCTTTTAACAACAATTATTAAGGGTTTTTCACGGGGGTTTTGGAGGCGCAGTGGATATAGTCGACGTTGAAAGGTAAATAAAACACGGTGGTTGAAAACCGCTATGGAAAATAGACTTTCCACGACGATTTTGTTAAGAAGTGTTATGGAAAATCAAATTTCCACAACAATTATTAATAAAACTGTCATGACAAGTTCAACTTTCCATGGCAGTTTTTTATGTAACTGCCGTGGAAATTCAATTTTCCACAGCAGTTTTTAACAAAACTGACGTCATAAATTGTTTTAACGGGGGTTATTTAAATAACCACCGTTAAAAACTTAATTTTTTTTAATAATACTGCGTGAATTTCTTTTTACCTCCTTACAGTTTACAGTTCCAAATAAATCCAGGCAATATAGAATATGCAGAACTATTTCAAGATGACCATATGAACAAATAATCAACTAGCTAGTTCATATATATACGTACAGCACAGTAAGCATTGAAATTTCTTTTAACATAGACTTGTAGCTTACAAGGAATCTGTCTAGACAGGACAGAAACCAATCCTATAACTACAAGATGATACCTTAGAAGTAGCTTACTACTTCTCCTAATAATAAGTAAAGGCATAATTCAAAGAATAGTAACAAGCTAAGTGAATTCTGTCTGCACAACAGAACTAAGGAACATGTATCAGGGGAAACTAAGAGAAAAAAAATCTAACAATAGATTTTTTTAGGAATGACCTAACTATTTCAAATTTTCAAAACTCTGTAGCAATGTTGTTGACAAAATGTTCCTCATCAAGTTGATTTCATCCATTTGATATGACGCAGCATTTTGAAATACTGTAAATAAAAAATAACATAGTTAACTTTATCAAAAATGTGAAAAGAATTGAAGAATTATATGCAATGTAAGTTATCTTTATCTCGTCTAATTTCTCAGTCACCCATGTCTCAATGATGTCATTCATGTAAAAGATGACATAATATCCATATTTAAAACTCCCTTGTTGACAACGGCACTAACAAAATGAAATATAAAATTGAATATTAGACTTTGATTATAAACATTAACTTTAATTATTAAAAAAGATTTAAAAATATATATTTAGCTCAAAACAACATACTATTGGGAGAATCCATGTTGGTGGTTGTCTATTTTGCTTCTTCGCCACAATATTGAAACTATGAAAAGCCCTATCCACAATATAAAAAAAATGATATTAGAGCATGTTTTAGTAACTTCACATGTAATAAATATATGAACATAAACTAATGTGTCGATGACATCTCTGGTTTCTTCGGATGAATTTCCACAAAGGGAATTGAACCAGTAGATTTTGTTATCAAAAGGGGCACAAACAAATAGCATCCAATAACAACTATAAAATACGAACCATGTTAATTATAATCCTATACATACAGCTTGTGTATCTTAAATACAATAATATACTTACCCTTCCACGCAGGGTGCAAAATATATTTGCTTTCTCATATGAGTCATTATGGTTATCATGTAGATCAACCTTGCTTTCACAGTATTGGCTATTTTCTACATCCTTTGAGGACACATAAAACCATATGTTCCTTCACGTCTTTCTGGCTGACATAATTGAGTAAAATGCCTGTTGTTCAAATAAGAAATATTAGGACATAATAAATATAACATGAATTAAGAAAATGATATTGTAGCTTGCAAAATAGCCAGCTACATGAAGATTATATCTAGCTCCTCAAAGTTGAGGAATTGAACAAGGTCTTTCTTGTAAATAGTGAAGTCGTATGTTACATCTGAACCTACAATCTCTAGTGGCATCTTGAAAGTAACGGGCTTATCCATGTTTGCTACTACAGAATGAAGAACCTCCAAATTGGAATACATAAGTGCAAGATCACCAGGAAGAGGCAAGAGTATAGGATCTAATGACGCGCTTTTTGTGGCCTTCTTCGCTATCACCTTCTTGGTCAATGGCTTTGTAACAAGTCTCTTTGGCATAAAATAAAATGTCCTTTAGCCTGAGCCAATAGTTAAACCTCATCAGTAGGGTTGGGCACAGTGTACCACCATGACCACGAAGAATCCTATCCACTGTCACTCTCGCTTGATCCTTTAGAACTTTCATGCTATGGATCGTTGTGCCCAAAAATGCTCAACCATTAATGACATAAACAGTTGAATTTTCAAAATCCACATAAAGAGGACATGGTATTCCGTCATCTTCAATAAGGTTAGGGCTAGGGTTAAGGTCAAACACTGTCAGTTGCTGCATCTAATTATTACTGCCCTTCTCACTTTTTATCACAAGTGAACCCTAAAACATAATATGAAATTAGTTAAGGCACATTAAATAAGTTTAAATGGATCAAATGAACCTTTAGAAGATTTGAAAAGATGTGTGATTATTATCTGGGAAGGTTTAGACACTCATGGCATCTGGAATTCTGTTGTGCCCATCATCATCATAGCCTGTTGAAACTTGGCATCAAACTCCTCACGTATCTTTTACATCTCCTCCTTGTGTTGTTCACTGAGTTCAACTTGAACTCTCTCTGTTTCTTCATGTAATCACTGGTTGAGCTCCTCTTTAAATACCATGTTAGTGAAGGATGATCCAGTGCTTCTTTATGAACCAATGCCAAAAAACTGTTTAATACCAATCCCTTTAGGGGCCCCTCTGACTCTATCGAGATGGTTAACCTTTCCAATGGCGGTGGCTAAGATATCTATCTGTCCTTGAAGGACGAATGTACCTCAGGATAATTACTCCTCAAGTGTATCCTATAACAGTAAAGCAACAAATTCAATTTAAGATAATTAAAAAAAGCAATTTGAAGCATAATGTATAAATATTACTTACAATCCTCTCAGCAACAACAGTGGACTCTAGAGTAATGTATTGACCCTTTTTAATCCTCACCGCCTTTCATTTTTCTTAGCAAAAAGGACGCTCAATGGGTGGAATGCAGCCAGTAGGATCTAAAGCAGTAGCCATTTGTGCATTCTTCATCTGCTCTTCTATCATACTTCTTTCCAACCCACCATACCCTGCATGGGACAGGGTATGTGGGTACACATTCTGCTAAGATATTTGCTTGTTCTTCTGACTCAATGCCTATGACAATGAAACAAATTCAACAAAGTTAGTTTAGTTAAATAAAATATGAACTGATTAAAAACTAAGTTTGAAGAAACCAAACCTGAAATGCAGGGTCTTTATATTGCTGCACAAAACTCTCCCATACTTCGTCACTAATAAACTGGTATCGTTCTTTAAGATGCTCACCCTTTCTTTTTTTCACTAATATAGTTCTTTGTAAGCATGGATTTAAAATCTCTCCACCATTTATCAAGTTGCTTAAACAGATGATCTCTCATTTGCTCAGTGACAGGAATATCAAATGTCAGCTGCAATACAATAGCATAGGGTTATAAGTACATAAGCAATTATAATTGAAACAAATAGAAAAAAGAATTCGTAATATACCAAAATATCCTCCTAAATGTTTTGCTTCAAATCTTTGTCCACCTTCTTCCAGCTAGAAATGTCAATCCCAATCTTAGTGCGTGCGACATAACCCGCATAACTAGTAAATTGAGCCCCAGTCTTTCCTGCAAGCTTCAAATCATCATCAAATTCCACTGCAATCCTCATGGGCTGTGTGGTCTCATCACGTAAAACCAAATGCCTCATACGGGTTGGCCCTCTACTCTTTCTCTGGCTAGTAAAGGAGCTGTCGTCACCAAAACACTGTTGATCGAATCCATCCATTTCTTGTTCAGAGAACAACCAATTAATAAATTTAAGAATAAAAAATATCAAGTTAATATAAAACATTAAGCATATTTAACAAGAAACATCATATTATGAATAATAATAATAATAAATATGAAATGAATTTACTAAGAAATATCAAATAATTTATTTAAGCCTTACAATGATTATCCTCCCAAATTCCTTCACAATGATCATCTCCAACAACATAGTCATCATCTACCAAATCTAATTTAACTGTTTTAGGTCGAGTAGCTATGAAAGGCAGGGTGTCATCAAGATTAAACTTTGAGTCACAAACATCTCCACCAACTCCTTGCCTCTTACCTTAAAGCATAATAGACAATTTCTTCTTTGCTAGATCAGGAACACAAAACACTTGTTTTGCTTGACTTGCTAAAATAAATGGCTCATCTCCATATCCAAACCTCTCAAGATTGACTGAAACAAATCCAAATTCTTCATCTACTTGCACAGTATTACTATTAACCCAGTTACATTTGAAGATAGGAACTTTAAACTTGGTATAACTAACCTCCCATATCTCTTCTATTATTCCTTAATAGGATATTGCCGCCAACGTTGGGTTTATATCTTTAGAACTAGCAAAATGCATAGCTTCGGCTACTACCATCACCCTATTGTTCTGCATGGTACTCTTATCGTCTTGGGTTTTTATGTAAAATGAATAACCATTTATGTTATATCCACCCCAACACAAAACCTCAAAATAAGGCCCTGCAGCTAGCCTTTGTATTGTTTCAGAAGGATTGTCATCTTTTAATACTTCTTGCTTGAACCACTTTGTAAATGACTTATTATGTTCATTAGCTAGTTGCATATCGTTCTTTTTTGGATTCAAGTTCTTCAACATATTCTTGTGAGCATTCAAGTAAGGCAAAACTTCATCCGTGTTGTTTAAAATGTACAGATGTGCCTGCATTACAACTTCTCTTGACATAGACCTCACTATGACACCCGATGTTCCCTTGCTTCTCCCTTGATCATGTCGAGATTGAGGAAGTCCAACTGCCTTTACCCTATCAAGATATGCGTTACAAAACTCAACTGCCTCCTGGGCTACATATCACTCAACAATTGATGCCTTAGGCCGATAAGGATTCTTAGAGTACCCTTTTAGGATTTCCATGTATCTCTCAAACGGGTACATCCACCTTAAACACACAGGGCCACAAAGTCTTATCTCTCGCACAAGATGAGCTATCAAGTGGACCATAATGTCAAAAAATGATGGAGGAAAGTGCATTTCCAATTGGGAGAGGATCACATAACCTTTATTTTCTAATTCATCTAACTCAGTAGGATCAATGACTTTGCTGTAAATGGCACTAAAAAACATACAAAGTCTTGTAATAGTATTTCTTACATTGGGTTTCATAATGTCTTGAATAGCAAGCGAAAGTAAATGTTGCATCAACATGTGACAATCACGAGAGTTCATCCGTTATCTTCAAATCTTGCATTAAAACAAGTTTGCTCAAATTAGAAGAATAACCTTATGGCACCTTAATACTATTAACAAAACCACAGAAACTTCTTTTCTCTTCTTTTGATAGTGTACGCAGCTGCATGTAAACAAGCCCTCTTACCATCTCTTTCTTGTGGGTGGAGGAGTTTTTTTATTTCAATTTCGACTAAGTCTCGTCTTGCATTGATTCCATCCTTAGTCTTTCCACTTATATGTAAAAGTGTACTAACAAAGCTCTCACACACATTCTTCTTCACACGCATCACATCTAAACTATGCCTCACATCAAGACTTTGCCAATATGGAAGATCGAAAAAGATAGATCTTTTTTTCCATATATTCCTCTCACCAGCAATCTTCTTCTTTTTACCAAAGACCATATTAATTCCCTTCACCCATTGATAAACTTGTTCTCCAATTAATGATATTGGAGCCATTTGATATTCTTGTGAGCTGTTAAATGCCTTCTTCAACCTACGGTAAGGGTAATGCTAACTAAGAAACCTTTTGTGACCAAAGTAGACCGTCTTCCTGTCATATTTAAGTTGCATGTAGTGGGTGCCTTCTTCACATATCAGACATGTTTTATGCCCCTTAACACTGTATCCTAAAAAATTTCTATATGTCGAAAAGTCATTTATTGTGGTGAAGATCATGACATGTAAATTGAAGGTCTCTTATTTATATGCATCAAACACATCAACACCTTCCTCCCATAATTTCTTCAGATCCTCAATCAAATGTGCCAAATACACATCGATATTGTTTCCCAGCTGTTTTGGCCCCGAGATCATCAAAGATAGCATGATATGCTTTCTTTTCATACATAACCAAGAAGGCAAGTTATAAATTACGAGGAGCACCAGCCAAGCATTGTGTTGCTACTAAGATTACCATATAGATTAATTTTGTCCGTACAAAACCCTAGCCAGAGATTTCTTGGCTCGCTACTGAATTGAGAACATTTTTTATCTATTGTTTTCCATTAAGGAGAATTTGATAGGTGACAAAGCTTTCTATCACATATTTTCTCATGAAAATGCCATCTCAAGTTCTTTGCTTCTGTGGCATTAGCAAATAGACGCTTAAATTGTGGTATTATTGGAAGATACCATAGAACTTTCAAAGGAGAACCTTTGGTCATCTCATTATAATTACCATCATCTTTCTTAACTTTATATCATAAAGTCCCATATTTAGGGCACTTATTCAACCCTTTGTTCTCATTTCTAAATAATATACAGTCATTAGGGCACGCATGTATCTTCTCATATTCCAAACCCATCAGACACAAAATTTTCTTTGCCTCATAAATTTGTTTTGGAAGTGAATTCCCCTTTAGAAGAATATCACTCAGCAGTTCAAGTAATTTCGTGAAACTAGCATCGGTCCAACCATTTTTTGCCTTCAAGTTCATCAATTTCAACATAGTTGTCAACCTTATGTAATCATCTTTACACCCTGGGTATAAACACGTCTTTGCATCACTACACAAAGTTTCAAAAGTGGGAGAGAACTGTATAGAGGATTTAGACCTTATGTCACGAAACATGTCCGAAATTCTATCACCAAAGTCTTTATTCACAACCTTCTCCTTTCTAGACAGTGTAGTCTTTCTAATTTCTCCATACCATGTACAATTTGTATATTTCAAATTTATCCCATCACAGATAAGATGCTCTTTTATCTCAGAAATATTCCGCCAACTATTGTTTAAGCATTTGACACAAAAACAATAGTACAATCCATCTCTTTTACTAGGGGTATTTCTCTGAGCAAACTCAAGAAACCTTTCAACCCTATCCTCATATTCTTTGCTAATTCTCTTAGCTTTCATCCAACTACAATTCATTGTTCTACGAAGTCAATGAACATAGTTATCAGGCTCAATTTTAACTCCTTAATTCAAATATTGAAATAATAAAATAATTAAATGTTATTTAATAAATTAAAATTGGGTAACACTTAATTACAAATTAAAGGGAATGGCTCTTTTTTAAAAATAAAAAATTTGACAAAATTTCCCTTTAAATATATAACAAAGAGAAAATTAGAGTGAAAGACTAAGAAAAAGTTATATTTATTATAAAGAATCTTTAAAATTATAATTATTTAAAAGGACCATAAATATATTAAATATATTATAATAAAAAAATGAAACATATAATTACTTTTAAAAATTAGATTAAGTAATTTCTTTAAAATTGGTATATATAGTGAATGAGCGAAAATGTTGATAAAAATATAAAATCAAACAAACATATATAAGTTTTGTAAAATAATTAAAAAAATTATTTTAATCAAAATTAAAACTATTCTTCATAAAATATTTCAACATGCATAAAGTTTTATAAAAATATTAAATTAATCTAATATAATTTTTTTCAAACACTTGTTTCTAATTTAAAGTTATAGAAAAAAATAAAAATAGATTTGTATATAAAATTTAGCTTTTTGTAAAAATAAATTAAAACACATATATACTTAAAGAAGTAAATTTTTGTAAAAATATTATTCCTTTTAGGTCCTCTATTCTAATTTTTCCTATAACAAATCCCAAATTATTTAAAAAATAAACAAATCAATCAATCAACCAAACCAACTTAACAATATAATAAACAAATTAAAGACATGATAAATTTGAAGAAATATAACAAATAAAATAAAAATAAGAATTCAATTTCAAACCAATTCAATGAATAAAGATTCTTAAAGCTAAAACTTCTGAATCCAAAACGGGAACACAAATGATATCTATTTGTAATAAAATTTTAAACAACATTTTATCATCAATTAAAATTCATAACAAAAAAAAAGAAATTCATAAAACACTAAACAGATTATTTATTACTAAATTATAAAATTTATTATAAAAAATTACCAAAAATTCAAAATAAATATCAAAAAATTATTAAAAAATCAAAAACTTCAAAACTAATCAACTTCAAACATTTAAACATGTTTCTGATACTGTACATAGGAAGGAATTGAGGTTTTCTCACACCAAATGCTACCAATCAACAACTCAAGTACATTAAAAACACAAAATCAACAATGCAAACCAACCACAATGTAAAACTAACAAACCCATTTGAAATACAATAGATTTTTATTGTTTTGAGAAACCAAGAAAAACTGAAAAGATTGATAGAAGAGGATGCTCACTCAGTAGAGACGATTCAAAGGCGCGAAGTTGGGCATTCAAACGGCGATGGATGGTGTCAAGACACTACAAGCTAAATGCAGGAGTTTAAACAGTGTGAAAGGTTGGGGAATGGCCAGTAATGGAAGTTTGTTGGTGGTGGGACAGAGAGGGACCATGGCGCACTAATATGAAACTGTGAAAATGAGTAAAACTGAACCCTATTGTGGCTTAGTTTAAAACTTTCCATAGGTGTTTTCTTAATAACCGCCATGGAAAATGAATAGTCAGGCCACTTATTTACAAAAGTGTCATCGTCTTTTTTTCCATAGCGTTTTTCTTCTTAACCGCTGTTATTTTACGACATTAAATATCTTTTTTCTAGTAGTGTAGGGTTCAAAATGCTTGGAGAGTGTGTATAGATTATGGGAAGTTGAATGATGCCATGAGAAAGGACCACTTTCCATTACCTTTTATAGATAAGATGTTGGAGAGAATTTCAGAAAAGTCTCACTATTGTTTTTTGGACGGTTTTTCTGGCTATTTTCAAGTGCCTATTGCTCTTGAAGATCAGGACAAGACTACTTTTACATTCCCTTTTGGTATCTTTGCTTATTAAAGGATGCCATTTAGGTTGTATAACGCTCTAGGCACTTTTCAAATGTACATGATGGCGATATTTAGTGATTTCTAGAGCAGAACATGGAAGTTTTTATGGATGACTTCACTATTTACAGTGAGAGTTTTGAGGAGTGCTTAAATAGCTTAGAGCAATTCTTGAGAGGTATATCGATAAGAAATTGGTTTTAAACTTTGAAAAGTGTCATTTAATGGTTGATAGAGGGATAGTCTTAGGTCACCTCATCTCCCAAAATAAGATTGAGGTTGATAGAGCCAAAATTGAAGTTATTTCATCCCTTCCTTATCCCACTTGTTTAAAAGGCTCAAGGTCTTTCTTAGGGCATACAGGTTTCTATCGGTGCTTTATTAAGGACTTTAGTAAAGTTGCCTTACTTATTTCTACCATGTTGAAAAAAGATGTTAAATTTAAATTTGATGACAAGTCTAGACATGCTTTTGAAACATTGAAATCTATGCTTGTTTTACCTCCTATTCTCACTGCCCCTAACTAGAATTTACATTTTGAATTATCTTGTGATGCTTCTAACTTTGCAATAGGTGCCATGCTTGGACAGAAGGAGGAGAAACAATCTAGAGTCATAGCATATGCCTCCAAGATGCTTGATTCCGCTCAAGTCAATTACACCACTACAGAGAAGGAACTGTTTGCTGTTATTTTTACTTTGAATAAGTTTAGACAGTATCTAATAAACTCTTCAGTAGTTGTTTTTATAGATCATGTAGTGGTTTGATACCTATTTAAGAAACCTCAGTCTAAACTTAGACTACTGAGATGGGCTTCGCTGCTACAAGAGTTTGATATCGAGATCAGAGATAAAACCAGAGCAACCACCTTAGCCGATTACCTTAAGGCACATAGGGAGTTGATTCTTCTGATATTGTTATTGACTTATTTCCTGATTCTGTACCTTTTTTCCTTGGCTATTCATGAGCCTTGGTACTCTAATATAGTTAATTATCTTGTCACTGACCTTGTACCTACTTCTATGTCTAAATTTTAGATTGATAAGCTGAAGAGGGAGGCAAGATACTATATCTGGGATGGTCCAATCCTATAGAAGCAATACAATGACCAGATCATTCGACACTGTGTTCTAAACAATGAGATCCACTCTATCCTTACCTTTGCATATCTTTTATCTTGCAGGGGGCATTTTAGTGCTAATAGGATTGCTGGGAGGGTTTTAGAGTGTGGTTTTTATTGGCCTTCTCTATTTAAGGATGCTTATTCTTTTTGCAAGTCTTGTGATAAGTGTCAGAGGTTTGGGAGTTTGGGTAGGAAGCATGAGATGCCTCTAAGACCTATGTATTTTTGTGAAATCTTTAATGTGTGGGGCATGGACTTTATGGTTCCCTTCCCTCCATCTTTTGGGTTTTCATACATATTGCTTATAATAGATTATGTGACTTGATGGGTAGAGGCAGTGCTAACTAGGAAAGATGATGCTTCTACAGTTGCTAACTTTTTACGTTCTCATATCTTTTGTAGGTAAGGCATTCTAGGAGCAATCATTAGTGACCAAGGAACACACTTCTGCAACAGGACCATCAAGTCTCTATTGGCTAAACATGGAGTCAATCACAAGCTTGCCACTCCTTATCACCCTCAAACGAATGGGTTAGTTAAAGTCTCTAACCAGAAAGTGATGCGAATACTTGAGAAGATCGTGAAACCATCCCGTAAGGACTGGAATGAAAGGCTTAAAGAAGCTCTTTGGGCTTATAGGACTGCCTATAAGATCCCTATAGGCATGTCTCCCTTTTGGTTGCTATATGGCAAGTCTTGCCATCTACCTATCACATCGCAAATTTTAGGCCTAGAAGTACCAGAATTAGCCTGAAATAGGTAGACTACCAGACCCATTTTGGCAGAGGACCCAGAGATTCTCTAGAAGGATATAGGGATTTCCAGGGACTGAATCGCAAAGAGAAAGCTTTATGGGACCGAGAAAAGAGGAAGTTAGAGACTTAGAAAAAGTCTCAAAGCCCAGGAATGAGAAATGGAGATAAATATAAGCCAAAGGTTATGTTGGAGGCCTCAATGAGGTGAATTTTGAGGTTAAGCCAACTAGGGGCAAAATTATAATTTTGTAAAGTTTTGGGCTAGTAAGGGCAAAAATAGAAATTATGTCCGAAAATCTCAGAAAAATCCTAGAAAATGGGAAATGATAGGTTAAGACCCGAACACTTCATAAAAATTCCAAAAAAATAGAAATAAGGTTCAGAGGCCTGTAGGAGGCTAAAAATGATGAAAATGCCCCTAAAAGGAATTTGTGGCATTCCTAGGGTTTTGACTTATTTTGAATATTATTGAAAATGAATTATTTAAATTATAGGGAGGCCTTAGATAATTGGAAGGAAATGGGGGAAAATACTTGAGGGATTATCACAGGTTTTAAAAATAATTCCGTCCCCAGAAAGTAAAGAGATTGGCTTTAATGGAATTTAAAGCCTATTTACATACTATCTAAGGAAAGTCAGTCAAATGTCTGGAGGTTGACTTTAGACTTAAGGAAAAGTTAGAGAAATTTCCCATGATGAATAAATAGTATTGGTACCTGAAGATAGATTCTCAGTGTTGTGGACAGGTAAAAAGAATTCGGTGAAGATCACTCCGAAATAAATATTATTAATTATTTTAATGGAAGAACAAGGGAAGAGAATCACTCTCTCTTTGGGCATGTTATATAATGCCATGTGAATTTATTTGAGGAGAGAAAATGGTACCAAAACATGTCCTAGTGGTTCCAGGAAAGTCAGGACCCGAAAAAGTACCCTATACGGTGTAGAATGGCAAGATAGGTGAAGGAATGCCTAAGAGTGGTATTTTACACGAATTTTATATTAATTTCCTCCCTATTTTAATGCCTTAATGATGAAAGAAAATGAAAGAGACAAGTGAACGGTTAGATTGGAGAAGAAGGTATTACGTATACAGCTGGATGCAAGACACGTATATGATCGGATGCAAGACATGTCTACGGTTTGATTGGGGACATGTGGCTTGATGATGTAAGCATGATGTCATCATGATGAGGTAAGCATGATGTCATAGGACACTTGTCACCACAAGATTAAAAGGGAAAATGGACAATCCAGATCAAGCCACACATTTTCAAGATCAACGGCCCAGATTCAGTCTTGTTTTCTATAAATACCCCCTCCCCTCCCTCTCATTTCGTCCAAGCTCATGGAAACCTTGGGGAAGCTCTGGAAAAATGGTTTTTAGAGAGAGAAAGAAGAGGGAGAAAGAAAGGCCAAGTGGTCTCACGCAAGATCAAGCTCTAAAACAAGGTATGTTCATGGTTTCTAATGTAATTTTCACTACTCTTGTTGTTGTTGAGCTTGGTTATGGATTTTAATGACTTTTAGGAGCTTGGAACCCTTGGGGGAGGTGCTGCATGAAATTTTTAAGGATAGAGGAAGATGAAATTGATGTTAGAATAATGTTTAAAGGCTTGAAAGAAACACGAATCAAGTGGGTTTATGTTGAAATTAGTTGAATTTCATAATTATGTAACTTGAGGAAATATCTCGGCTAGACCTATTTCTTGTGCCTAGGATATGATTTTGATGATTTTGATGCTTCCAATGTGTTTAAAATGAAAAGTTGTGTAGGGATACGATGAAAGATTGAAGTTGGAAGCATTGGAATCAAAACTGGAAATTAAGTGGCAGATTTTGGTTTTGGCCTAGAACCAGGGGAAGGAGTTAGATTTTGATAAATCTGACCCCATATTTGGATTTCTTGGACAAAATTGTGTAGAATTGGCCTAAGGGAATAATTTTTACAAAGCTAGAACACTATATTATAAATTAAGGAAAAAGGGATTAAGTTTAAGGACTTGAGTCTTCCATATTGTGTAATTCTTGGTCCTAATGAGTAATATGACCCTTGTGACTGTGATTAGGACCTTGAGACATTTAAGAGAAGGTTTGGATGTAGTTGAGCAAGCAAATTTAATGGTTGAAAACAAAAAGGGAGTAAGAAGAAAGCTTAAGGACACAAGGTAGCAAACTTTACCCTACTCTTATGTGCTTGGTATTTGCTTGCATGTATGACATGTTTCTATGTTATATGATTTTATGAACTCATGTGTGTTGTGATTATGAATGTGTTTGAAATATGCCATAGGCCTATGTGTTTTATGATAAACACATGATGATTGCCAAACATGTCATCATGTTATAAAGATGTTAAGTTGCAAGCATGTTATAAATGTCAAGCTTGCCATGTATGTTTGGGTGGTTATTGTTTGCTGCTGAGATTCTCCCGAATCTCACCCTTCCTTAACTAACCATAATAGGTGATATGATTAAGTGAAGGATACATGAAGTGGAAGCAAGGGAAGAAGAAAAGATTTGGAGAAATTGTTGTATTACATTACGTTGTACACTGTATATACCAATATATGTTGTAAATGTGCCATTGATGGTATGTGATGAAAAATGATGATGTTGGCTTGCGTAATTAGCTATGATAATGTATGGGAATGACTAGAGTATGAATGGAATGGTATTATGTATGGAAAGTCTTAATCATGAACTATTAGTGCAAGTTAGGGGGTAAGTTATCCCTAATTGAGCAATAAAATAATGACAGAGTAGAAGTATGGGAAATGACTGACTCTACTCATAAAATTTGGCATGATTAAAGTACATATTCTGAGCTTTAATACAAGTGGTAGATCACTTAAAACAGATGTGTGTGCTAAGAGTTATAATTGCTCAAAGTTGGACTGAAAATCTGAAATTTAATCTGTGAATAGTAACCTGAGAACCTAAATGAAATTTTCAATCTACGGGCTTGGTTCATGAATCGCTTGAACCGTAACGCTTCCAAACACGTACTATGAGGAGTTAAGGGAAGGATGTTTCACTACCTATGGAGATTAAGCACAAATTTTATTGGGCAGTCAAGGCATGTGATGCAGATCTCAAATCTTCACTTGTCAATCAGAAGATGCAGCTCCAAGAACTTGAAGAAATGAGACTTTAGTCTTATGACAATGCCAGAATCTACAAAGACAAGTTGAAAATGATTCATGGAAAATGGATTCTGAGGAAGTAGTTTTGTGAAGGTGATAAGGTTCTAAAGTTTAAAGCCCGGTTGAAGCTGATGCCCGGAAAGTTTGTCACCAAGTGGGAAGGTCCATTTAGAGTTACTAAAGTATATTCCTTTGGTACAGTAGAGTTCGTAGATGAGGAAACCAATATAACTTCATAAGTCAACAGCTATCTACTGAAGCACTATCATGAGGAGCAAAGATCCCCTGATCACAGAGTTGTTCCCTTCCACCCTACTCTTTTACTTTATGTTGTATTGTTGGTGATATCTATTTGCTGAGATAGTTAGGAGTAAGCATGGGGGCGAAACTTTTTCAGTAGTTATAGTTATAGCTGTTTATTTCTGTTTAGTAATTATTTGTTTTGTTTCCTCTTGATTCTACCATCTCTTTTGATCACTTGATTTATACTTGTTTGTTTTCATTTCACATTATCTTATCTTATCTCTCCCTTCTCTCTTCTTTGTGATAGTGATGTGTTGTGCTTTGATTTCAACTTGGACTTCACAACTTCCACTTCACCTGAGAATTTAGGTTAAGATAATGTTGTTTTTCTTACATTGAGGATAATGTATTGATCAAGTGTGCGAGAGGGATTGTTGTTGAGTTGTTGAGTTGAATCACAAAAAAAAATGCCTCTAGATTTGCTCATGTTTCCTAAGTATTGCTGTTATAATTGCTCTCTTCTTTACCTTAGTGGTTGATTTTTGAATTGCATCGCATGATTTGAGAGTGATTCTTAATTGGGAATTTTGCTATTGGTTTCTGCGTCCTTCTATTTTCACTCGTCTCAGTATTCTGCACTACTGTATGGGTGATTTGCTGTTTTCTTTAGTGTTGACTTGACTTTTGTCATCCTTAGACATCTCTTTTAAAATCCTTTTGCACAATGCTTGTGAATGTTGGACGACTGAGTTCGATTGTATTTGATTTGAGTGATTTCTGTTCTTAG